TACCACTACTGTGCATGTGTGTCAAAGGCAGATGTGGCAGTGGAAGGTGTCAAAGCAGTTTGGAGAGAAAAACAAAGTAAAGTAAACAAAGTAAAAAAAAAAAGAAAACGATTAATCGATTATTAAATTAGTCATCGATTATTTTAATAATCGATTAGTCGTCGACTAATCGACTAATCGTGGCAGCCCTAGTCCACTCATTGGTCCACTTATTGGTCCACTCATTGGTCCACTTATTGGTCCACTGCAGACGGTCCACTCATTGGTCCACTGTGGACCCTCTGCAGTGTGAGTTTGTTCAGATGTTTTTATCAAACAGAAACAAACTCCTGCTGCTCATTTTAAATGGAACTTTCCAACAACACAAAGAAGCACTGACTTTCCTCCTCCTCCTCCTGTTCCTCCTCCTCGCTTGACTGACCTCAGTCTGACGTCCTGCTGAGCCCAGTCTTCCTCCTCCTCCTCTGCCTCATCCACTCACTTCATAGTGGAACCACTCACAGGAAACCAGATCAACATCTGATCAGGAACTGATTGGTCTCCAGTTGGAGGGAGAAACACTCAGGAGGAGTTTCAGCACCTCCTTTGTTGACCTGATGGACCTCCTGCAAGCTCCGCCCTCTTTAGGAATGGTCAAACGGCCGTCAGTGATGTATTGATCCATGCGAGCTGCACCCTGGTCACAAAAGTGGAAACATCCACTTGAAGACATCCGAGTTCCTGAAGGAGGTGGAGAGAGCTCCTTGTGCGTGTGCACGTGTTTGTGCACGTGTGTTTGTGCGTGGGAAACGAGCAGCAGCAGCCATCAGGAAACATCAGGACCTTATTGGTCTGCAGAGCACTGACCCGTCCCAATGCCATATGTTGTTGTCCTGTCACTGTACACACCAATCAGACCTCTCTAGTTAACACACACGCACACACGCACACACGCACACACGCACACACGCACACACACACACACACACACACACACACTCAAGATTTCTCTATCTTAGCCTAAACTTACTTTGACGTCCATTAATTTCTACAGCCTAACCCAAAAATGGAGTTTTTCTCTTGTGTGGACCAAGAAAAATGTCCTCACAAGGGTGGTCTAATGTCCAGTTGTGTCCTCACAGGAATATCAAGAAATAGTATTTTTGTCTTGATAAAAACATGAAACCTCACATTCAGACATCACAGGTCAGTGATTTTTGTGATGATGATGACAGGACAGTTGATGGAGGAAGACACGTCCAACCTTCAGGGTCATGTCTGATTTTCAGAAGAAGCTTTTGTTTCTGTAGGACTTCCAGTATTCAGTTAAATATGAACATTTTAGTTTAGTTGTTTTTAACTAAAATATATTTTAGTTTTAGTAAAATATATATTTCATAATATTTTAGTCCAGTAAATCTGCAGTACATTTAATTATCTAAAATATAAAATGCAAAGATGATATGTTTAATATATTTAAGGTTTTCCTTTAATATTTTGAATCAATAATTACTCCTAGAATAAATGTTAAAGAAAATAAAACTGTAAAAAGCTCATTTTGTTTTGCATATTCTGCATATTTGAACCCACTTTAAGACTTTGAGATCTGTGACAGTTTTATACAACTCAGTCTGAAAATTACTTTATTTAATATAAGAAACGTTTCAAGTCAGGATAATTTGATATTATTTTTTTATTTAAAATTCAGTACATATTTCTGGATGTCCAAACCCTGAGCTGTTGTCGGACCCCCTGAGCAGTTCAGTTTAAAGTTCAGGTTCCTGCAGAATCTTTAAAAGTTTATATTTAGTTTTCTTGAATGGATAAAATAAATCTGAGAATAAAAACATGTCAGAGTCTCTAATTCTAAAGTTATGCTCCAAGAAAAATGTCTGATTTTTTACAGTGACATAAACATGCAGAATCATTTTCAACGTTTTTTACTGGATGGAAACAGTGACTCCTGATAGCTTCAGTTTGTGTAAATAAAGGGCTTTAAACACTTATTTAAGATACAAAAGAATTCAAATATAAACTGTGTGTAAATTTACAGAACAAGTTCATTCTTTGGTTTTTTGTTTCAAAATAAAATGGAAAAAATCAAACAGACAATCAAATGTTTTTTTCATTTTTTTGTTTTGTTTTAAAGCTAAATTAGAAAAACGACAATTGCAAAAATAAAGTATGTTTTTTTATTTTGTTTTTTATTTATTTGTAAAATAAAAGACAAGCTATATATTTTTTTAGTTCACTGTTTGAGACCTTCTGGTGAAACCAGAAATCGTGTCGTGAACTCCCGGAGCGTAACGTTTTCACTTCTCACCAGGATGTGTTTGTCTTATTGAGATCTGATGATCTTACTGTGAATAAAACCGTTTTAATGTTCAAAGTTATGGTGAATCAGGTTCATGTGCAGCTCTCTTATTGCTACCTTTGAAACAAATGTATTGATATGAAACTTTAATTGATGTATTTTGGATTTAGATGGCTGAAGCAAAAATCAAACACTGTAGATTTTTAGTTGGATTGATTTTACATTTTTATATTTAGGTTTGAAAAACAAAAAACAAAGTGGTTGTTGTCTTTTTGCAAATAATTTTGAAACAGAAAAACCAAAGAACGAATCATACACAGTATTTTTTTTAATCTGTTATAAGTGTTTTTGTTTTTTGTTTAATCTGTACGTTTGCAGCAGCTGGTTTAGTGTTTTTGTTTTTTTGGACTTTGTGATTTTTGCACATGAACTCTGCAGTCTTTCTAACATCCAGCAGGGGGCAGCAGCTGTTTGGTAAACATGTAATAAGTTTATTTTTTAGTGTTGTTTCTGATCAGGATTCAGATTTTATTTAAAGGAAGCGGCAGAGAGGGCGGGGCTTCCAGATGATTGACATCATGTGACCCTGCGGTTTCTCTGTGCCTGCAGGCCTATGGGTGGGCGTTGGAGGGAATGCGCCACCTCGCTGGGATCTCCATGGAGGACTGCACGCTCCCAGACAAATGCCAGGCTGTGATTGACAGCTTGGAGGAGTTCCAGCAGAAACGCCCACCAATCACAGACGCTCGTTTCCAGGAGATGAAAGCCGAGGCGGCCGAGCTACAGGGCGAGCGAGGGCTTCGTCAGTGGAGCTTCACCTGGGCCAAGTGCCTGGAGACCAGAAAAATGTTTGACAGGAAGATGGAGGCGGTGCTTAGGTCACGAGACTCCGCCCACAGACGCCGCTCTGACTCTGCCACCAGCAGAAGCTCCATCTCCTCCAGAAAGTCTCTGTCAGGACTGTGGAGCGTCCAAGAGGACTCCCCGTGTCCCCTAGAGGAGGAGGACAGCTCATCGTCTGTCTTTTCTCCCTCCCCGCCCACCTCCCACCGCACCCCGCTCCTCCGCCGTCTTTTTCGAAGCTCCTCCTCATTCGACGAGTCCCCGGAGCGGAAGGACGGCGTCTCCCCCAGGCACGCTCGCCTCAGCTCCTCCTCCAGCTTCTTCAGCTTCTCCCCCTTCTCCTCCCCCAGCTTCTCCCCCTCCTCCAGGAGGCGGCAGCAGCATCTGAGGAAGACTCAGAGCTTCGACCTCCCCTCCACGCCCGACGGGTCGCGGTACAGCCCGGGTCCCCGCGTCCTCAGCGAGCCGCCTCGCAGGGGGAACACGGGCGTGTTCATCCGAGGTCTGGAGGTCAGCAGCACGGAGGCGGCCGATCAGATCCTGTGCCCCAGGACCCCCACCCACAGCTGGACCGGTCAAAGACCACACGGTCCTCGGACCCCCGGGACCCCCGCAGCAGACACCCACCCCAGAGGAGGAAGGTAAGTAATCATCATCATCTTTACCAGAGTTGTAAAGTAACTAARTACAAATACTTTGTTACTGTACTTAAGTAGAATTTCTGTGTATCTGTTCTTTACTTGAGTAATTATTTTTCAGCGTACTTTTTACTTCTTGCATTTTATAAAAAAGACAAGAAGTATAAAGTCGTTACTTTTATTTCTGCTTGTTTTCATTGCAGCTTGTTGTTGTAAAAAATAAAAACTATCCATATAAACTGAGCCTCCTAGATAGAGTGAATTTAACTGTGGTTGAATGAGAAGTATAAATATATAAAACTCTGATAGTGTATTAGTTTGTACACAAACAAATCATGTCACACTGCAGCAGGACAGAATCATTAAAATAAAAGGACTGTACTTAAGAAGTATTTGTATTTCATGAATTATATTCTTACATTTGGCCGCAGCCCTCAGATAGATTTTCATTTTGGGGAAAAGCTTTGTGCAGCCTTGATATATGTATATAAACTGAAACAGCTGGACTAGTGCATCCTAAATTTAACATCCATTCATTCTTTTAATACAACAGTCATTTCTGCAGTTTTTGGGGAGGTCACCTCCTAATAAATGTCCTAACAGAAAATATAACTGCTCATTTTAAATCAGTACTTTGACTTTTAATACTTAACTACAACAAATATCACATACTGTAAGACTTTTACTCAAGTAATATTCCTAAAGGAGACTTTAACTTTTACCAAAGTAACTTTTTGGTAAGATACTTGTACTTTTACTCAAGTATCATTTTACAACATCACCGTTCCCACCTGTCACCTGTCCTCACCAGTTGTTTTTTACATTTTTTATCATATTTTTACCTCTTTATTTTATCTTTTTTGATGTTCTTATTTATTTGAACTACAGGAGCTGCAAAATTATTTTGTTGTTCATTGTCTGTGGACCGCACTGTTCTTTTCAGTGCAACAATGACAAAGTCCTTATTGTATCTCATCGTATCTTAGCTTTTCTTATTGTATCGCATCGTATCTTAGCTTTTCTTATTGTATCGCATTGTATCATATCTTCTTGTATCAGTTTTTCTTATTGTATCTTATTGTATTTCTTTTCGTATCGTATCATAACACATCGTATCGTATCTTATCTTTTCTTTTTGTATCTTATATCGTATCTCTTTTCTTTTTGTATCTATCGTATCTTATCTTATCTTATTGTATCACATCGTATTTCTTTTCGTATCTTATCGTATCGTATCTCTTTTCGTATCGTATCTTATCTTATCATATCGTATCGTGTTTTTTTTCGTATCTTATCGTATCGTATCTTTTCTTTTCGTATCGTATCTTTTCTTATCGTATCTTATCGTATCGTATTTCTTTTCGTATCGTATCTTATTGTATCGTATTGTATCATATTTCTTTTCGTATCATATCTTTACTTATCATATCTTATCGTATCATATTGTATCGTATTTCTTTTCGTATCGTATCTTTTCTTATCGTATCTTATTGTATCGTATCTTATTGTATCGTATTGTATCGTATTTCTTTTCGTATCTGTCGTATCTTATCTTATTTTATCGTATCGTATTTCTTTTCGTATCTTATCGTATCGTATCTCTTTTCGTATCTATCGTATCTTATCTTACCTATCCTATCGTATCTCTTTTCTTTTCGTATCGTATCGTATCTTATCTTATCGTAAATTGTATCGTATTTCTTTTCGTATCTTATCGTAACGTATTTCTTTTCGTATCTTATCTTATCGTATTTCTTTTTGTATCGTATCTTATCTTATCATGTCTAATTGTATGGTATCGTATTTCTTCTATCGTATCGTATCGTATCTCTTTTCTTTTCATATCTTATCTTATCGTATCGTATCTCTTTTCTTTTCATATCTTATCTTATCTTATTGTATCTTATTGTATTGTATCATATCGTATTTCTTATCTTATCTTATCTTATCTTATCTTATCTTATCTTATCTTATCTGTCCGTGTGCAGCAGGCTGTGTCACATCGTGGAGGAAATGGTGACGACGGAGCGCGAGTACGTGCGCTCGCTGCGTTACATCATCCATCACTACTTCCCTGAGATGGACCGGGCCGACCTCCCGCAGGGCCTGAGAGGAAAACGCTCCGTCATCTTCGGAAACCTGGAGAAGCTGCTGGACTTCCACAGCCAGTTCTTCCTGAAGGAGCTGGAGGCCTGCTGGAAACACCCGCTGCGAGTGCCGCACAGCTTCCTGCGACACGTAGGTTTCATGTAGTTTGTTTGGTTGTTGTTTAATCTGAGAAACCCACCTACACAATCTAAACTGCAAGCGTCAAGTTTTTAAGATTTTTAGGGTCCTATGTGGGGTCGGGCAAAATGGTATCAAAGGGCTGCGCAAATCAGGAAACCCTGCGAAGTGCGGTAACACTGCTTAATATTATGATGTTGATATGACTTGAAATAAATAAATAAATACTTCAGTATGCAGAAAACAACAACAACAAAAAACTAATGCATCACTTCCATTCCAACATGACAGTTTTATTTTAAAAAATGTAGTGGGTTCAGTGGAGTATAAATCCAGTATGTATGTCGTTTATCTGACATTTAACCTGTTGTTTGTTTGTTTGTTTGTTTATCTGTGACACGTTGTTCATGTCGAGCAGGAGGAGCAGTTTGGTCTCTACGCTCTGTACAGCAAGAACAAACCCAAATCTGACGCCCTGCTGGCCAACCATGGACACACGTTCTTCAGGGTAAGAAGTGGATCGTTCCTGCTGTGACCTTTGACCCTCAGGGTTCAGACAGGTGCTTGAAATCCTTGAAAATCCTTGAATATTCCTGACCCCGCCCCCCTCCCCCGCCCCGCTCGTTGCAGAGGAAGCAGCTGGAGCTGGGGGATAAGATGGACCTGTCGTCCTACCTGCTGAAGCCCATCCAGAGGATGAGTAAATACGCTCTGCTCCTGAAGGATCTCATGAAGGAGGTGGGCGCCGCAGAGGAGGCGGAGCTTACCGCTCTGCAGGCCGCCACCAACATGGTGAAGTTCCAGCTTCGCCACGGCAACGACCTGCTGGCCATGGACGCCATCAGAGACTGTGACGTAAGTTGTGTTGTGTTGTTTGTTTGTTTTAAACTTGATTTTTCAGTAACAAAAAGATGGCAGATTATTTAAGTTTATGGCAGATTATTTAAGTTTATGGCAGATTATTTAAGGTTAAAACAGATTATTTAAGGTTAAAACAGATTATTTAAGGTTAAAACAGATTATTTAAGGTTAATACAGATTATTTAAGGTTAATGTGCTGTATCAGGGCCATTTTGCAAATTAAAAAAAGGAGCAAATCTCCACCAAATAAGAACAAACAAGAAAAAACAAGAAAATTCTCATAAATTAGCGAGAAAAAAAATCTAATTTCCACGATTAAAGGCAGAAGTTTTTGATATTTAAAGAAAATATTTGTTGACATTATAAAGTCCGAAATTTACAAGAAAAATCTCTAAAGGGCGATTCTACCTGTTTTCACTTTGAGCCTCTTTAATCTGCTCTAATTTAAAAACTAAAACACAAAGAGACTTCAGACCAGGACCAGATTATTCTACACTGATTGCAGAAGATTTAAAACCAAGCGTGTGATTTGTTCAACATATATTGACTTGTGAAACTTCAATACAGGGCGATTTTAGCACTTTTATTTATTTTAATTGAGCATTTTAATTTGCCAGATGGAGAGGTGAGAGAATTAGTGACTGAAGCAATAAGTAATAAACTTTATTTATGTTACACATTTCTAGACACGACCATCACAAAGTGCTTAACAGAAAAATTATTTTCAAATTATTCACAGGCTTTTATTTTGAAATATCCAGTTACAGAAACAGGATGTGTCACCACAGGTTCTGGAAAGTGACTTTGGCTGCATAAAGTTTTAAAAATTATTTTTCTCTATAGAGAAAAAAAAGTTTTTTTCTTGCAAATTAACGACTTTTCTACATAAGAGAATTTCTTGTTTTTTTCTCACCAATTTCTGAAATTTGTCTCAAAATTTCTGAATTATTTGGTGGAGATTTGCTCATTTTTTTTTAATTTAAAGTGACCCTAATGCACCGTTGTAATTTGTAGCACTGATTTGAGCAACTGTTAAAAATATATGAATAAAGTTTTGTGTGTAGTCAGAAAACAATATGGTGGGATTTACAAACTTTTATTTCTGTTTATTTTATCTTTACAACTAAAACTCAGTCTGTCGAGATTTAAAGACACGAGTCTTCAGTTCAGAGCTCCTTTTGTTCAAATCAATTTCATATTAAAAGTATTTATCTTAAAGTTTGTGAGCTCTGCTGATCACAGATCATCTGCAGGTTAAAAATCTGTTCACTTCTCTGGAGTTCAACGCAAAAAAAATTATTAAAATATTAAATAAAAGAAATATCGTATCAGTCAGAGACAAACACGCTCCCAGAGCTCCTCTTTTTCTGGTTCTTTTATTTTGGTTCAACAAAAAAAAAAAAAAGAAAAATAAATAGCTGCAGAAGAATCGCACCATCAGCTCACAGGCGCCCCCAGCAGGCAGAGGCCGATTACTGCAGGCTTCACACCTGGGGTTTTAAAGGCTGATTTATATCAGATCTACATGAAAACATGAAATACACGAGCATGTCTGTAAAAATATATATTTTAAAACAAACAAAGAGGGAAAATCCTACAGAAACTGCACCCAAGCTAAAAATAAAACATTTTTCTTTTTTTCCTTTATTTTACTGTTTTTTTTTTAAGTTTTCTCATCTGATGAGTACTTCTATCAGTACTCTGTATCAGTGCATCTTTTTTTATTATACAATAAACCTACATTTTCCTCATTACTCAGTTTCTTTTCTGTCATCATCTAAAATTAACATAAAAGTAACATACAGTAGTTTTTTTTATAAAAGAGATGGCGTTTATAATTTAAAAGGATTTAAAATGTTCCTTAAACCAAACATGAGAACAAATTTTAAAGAGAAATGCACCTCCTTCCTGTCAAACAATTATTCTCTTAATTTCTCTTTTAAACAATTTCTCTTTATTTCTCTTTAAAAAAATTATTCTCTTAAAAAATTAATGAAAAAAAGTCTAAATATGAACAAAACCTTGGTTGAGTATAAATTTGAGTATTAATTTTGATTGATTTTATTATTGAAGTTATGTTTTAAGTGGGGGCAGATGTTATACAGATGTTATAAGATTAATTTCTTTCTGCTCCTTTTCATTTGTTGTTCTTGTCTTTTTTAATTTACTTTATTTGTATTTTTTGTGTACTCCAAATGAAATAAACTATTTAATAATTAATAATAAAGCAGCTGTGGCATTCAGGTGTCTGTTGGACCGAACAAACACTAAAACAATCAGAACATTAATTATTAATTAAATAAAGCACTCTCTGGTTTGTTGTTGTAATGATAATAACTCCTCTCTGGTATTTGTGAATATAATCTGTATTATAATCCCACTGACGACCTCGTTAACCCAAACTAAAACGTTGCAGGTGAACCTGAAGGAGCAGGGTCAGCTGATCCGTCAGGATGAGTTCACGGTTCTGAGCGGCAGGAGGAAATGTCAGCGCCACGTCTTCCTGTTCGAGGAGCTCATCCTCTTCAGTAAACCCAAGAAGGTGGAGGGGGGGCTGGACGTCTTCATCTACAAGCACTCCTTCAAGGTGAGCGAGCGCCGCCCGGTGGCTCCGCCCACAAAGAGCTCGGGCCCTGAACGCTCCGTGTCCTCTTTCAGACCGCCGACGTGGGTCTGACAGAGTCGACGGGGGACAGCGGGCTCCGGTTCGAGATCTGGTTCAGGAGGAGGACGTCCAAGAACCAGACCTACATCCTTCAGGCCGCGGCGGCAGACGTCAAACACACCTGGACGAGTGACATCGCCCGCATCCTGTGGACCCAGGCCACCAGGAACAAAGGTGGAGACCAGGGGGAGGAGCTCAGAGGGTGTGGCTCACAAGCTGAACCTGTGTGTGTGTGTGTGTGTGTGTGTGTGTGTGTGTGTGTGTGTGTGTGTGTGTG